TACTGTCATACTTCATCCACAGTTTCGCAAAGTACATGAGTTGCTTCATACTCACTTTAACCCTTTCACGACCCTGCTTCTTCCGGGAGCGTGCACGACCGTGTAGTAAGTGGTTGAATTGCGTATTCCAGGTATGCACGAGAACGGGAGGGAGTGTCTTGGTGGCTGCACGGCAGTCGTGAGGGTGGACGATGACGTTGGGGACACTCTCATCTTCGAGGACATGCAGTGCTCCCTGTTCGCTCACGTGAACGGAGAGGGAATTGTTGTGCAAGTTGTACGATCAACCGACCCGGAGAACCCAGTGCCACCGAATCAGTGCAGTGTCCTTGGATGGGGTGGTATGTAATGTGCACAGTGCAACTACATCAGGTGTTCTTTTGAAATTTAGGTCTTGACTAACCGTTGCCATTTGCAGGGAATGCAGCAGAAGCCATACGGGACGCGGAGGCGTACGCTGCACGGTTGAGCCGGGTACATAATGGCGATGTGGCTGCTGCGCTGGCCGTGATGGGGCTCGCCTCCCAAGCGGCTAGCACCCCTAACGAGGAGGGTGAGGTGTCAGAAGAGGTTCAGGTTTTAGAACACGCTGAGGTAACAGAAGAGGTTCAGGTTGAAGACACAGAAACCGATGCAGAAGGTGTTCAGGTTTCAGAACAGGCTAAGGTAACCGAAACTGATGCAGAAGAATGGCCCTATGAGAGTGACATGGTACTCGTAGACTTGTGCCAGCCAGGCTCGAGGCCCGCAATACCGCCCGTGCGGTGTAGTAGAAGAGGACTCCAGGTTCTAGAGCGGATGTTCAATATTAAAGTCCTGGAAGGTACTGAATTAGGGGAGTGAATCTTTGAAAGATGTTAAGTCGTATTGTTTTGATTATGTGACAGTAATAAACGCATTGTGTAAGGTAATACTGGAACTGGCATTAATTTAAATGTACCCGCCCATCTGCGCTGTTTATTGTGTGAAACATTGTATAAAGTAAATGTAGTACTGCTTGGTCTAGCAGTTAGTAATTCCTTACATGGGGAATGAGGGAACGCAATTTTTGGTGTAAAATTTATTGTATTATAAACAGTAGGCTACATTATTAAAGCTCAAGCAGTCAAGCAAGTATGACAAACACAGGCATGAAATATATAATTAAAAGGGGACATTCACCGATTACAGAGGAATTGTTTGCAAATAAGGAATTAATTTGAGTCACATTTGTACAACAGTTTAAGTTCTTCAAGGAGTGACGCAATCACAGGCACACAGAAAGAGCGTCCAATAAGATTTCTGCGGGATGTTAAACTCTGGTCGCCTGTATCTGTCCAGCTCTTGTTGTAGCCAAAAATAGATTCTAATTCAGTCAATCGCAAGTAGGAAGGCTGAGATCAAGATCAAGATCAAGATTTCACCAATAAAACCATGCTCTCCGGGCCTGCGGACCAGCTGGTCCAGGACGTTGACATCCTACACGAGCCGAAGCAAGTAACCTCAGCGTCAGCCAATCAGAGAAGAGTGACCGTGGCGACCACTATTGAGCGCAAGGCGAAGAACGCACCCCGTATTTTGGCGCGTCTTCATTGATAAACAGCTCACCTCAACTCCGATCCAACTCTTTCTTTTTGATTGCGCAAAGGTAGGTCAAACACAGGTGGGGAGGGGCAGGTGAGATTGAATGACCGCGGCCGATTCAAGCAGTCGCGCACCTGTCCCACTATGAGGGTGCAGAAAGCTTATTTTCAAATGACTTGAACCACTGAATAATTCTTTGGTTTGAATGCATGTGCCCCGCGTGAGGTTAATTGTAATATTATTTAATTATTTTATCAAGATTTATCAGGATGAGTCAAAAGAAGAGCAAGAGCATCACACACGATCAACGAGCAGCCATGGTGGACTTTATCCGTCAGAACCCTGGCTGCAACACAGAAAAGTTTGAGGGACCTCACAGTGATCAGGAAGAGTTCATAGAAAATCATTACAATTGCATTTTGTGTCATTCACACAGAGCTTTGTACCTATTTTACCATTCTTTTATTTGCCTTCAGTTGAAGACTGAAACGTGGGAAAAATTACCAAACCTACTGAACTCAATGCCAGGCGCACAGTATGAAGCAGCGACATGGAGAAAGGTAAGCAATCAGGATAAAAGTTGACGTGTAACTTAATTATTTTGATCCGTACCTCTTTTAATTCTGTAGTGCTTCTCTGATCTTTAGTCATACCAAGACTGGAAAAGTGAGTGCAAGAAGAAGTACTTGCACAATAAAAAGTATAAAAATGCAACTGACAACAACCCTAGACATAAACCAAAGAAATTAAATGATTTGGAAGAAATTTGCCTCAAAGAATTCCATACGAAAGAGTCCCTTGAAGGAAATGGGACAATAGATCCGGATAGGGATATTGTGGTAAGTACATTTTCTGTCAAGTTTGCAAAAAAGTATAACAACTGTAACTTTCACTTCAATTTATCATTTAATGACAGGAGGAGACCGAGGAGAACTCAAGCGAGGAGACCACAGAGCAGTATAACAATGAACTTCAAATGCCACTTGAAGACTCTTTTGAGTTGCATGTGGTAGATGATACTGGGGACAGCAACAATACATTTGTGGAGGTGTTGACACCCTGCCCAAGCAGCTCAAGCCAGTGGAAATCTAGTCAAGTACTGCAGGTATTATCACCATCACCTTCGACACCCTGCTCAAGTAAACTGCCCCCCCCCCAAAGGAAAACAGAATCAGAGATTAGGAAAGATGTAAGCAAGCGAGTGAGGAAGGAGATGGAGTTGAGGGAAGGCAGGCCTGTAGAGGTGGAGCAGCTGGAGACTTTTATGGAGCGAACAAAAATGCAAACTAGTGTTCTGGAGTCTATAGCCACATCTCTGCAGGCCCTCGTAGGGTCTCAAGAGGAGCTGGTCAAAGCTCAAAAAACTACCAATAAGTATTTGAAAGATCTTCTAGAACAGTAGTATACTTTGTTTCTACCTTTATTGTTTGATTTAACTTCACGTAGTGTAAGGTGGGAAGAAATTCTAGTTTTGCTTTTGACCAAAGCCT